CAGGCATTAAAAGGATTCGACGTGATGTAGCTGCAATACTCTTAGAAATGTTGAGAAATGTTTGGGCAGTCTGTAAAAATGTGTACAACAAAATGGAGGCTACATTTCGGACATTATTAAAAAAATAACGATTGTGTCCTTACTTAAAGTATAGATTCTGTTTTCATTAATACATTTTACAAAAGATGATTTTTTGGATGTTTCCTGATTTTTTGAGATTATAATAGATAAAATTATTTTTCTTTCACATTTATGTCAGATAAAAATATTTAGGCTTACATAAAAACGACAATTTAACCACTATAATAATAATTTCGATTTATTTTAATACAGAAAAATCTAAAATAATAGATATTTATCTACTATCAATATGTAATGTCAAACTTTACAGTTGTCACTTGAAGCACACTACATCTTAAAGACGCCCAGTTCATCTCTTACTTTTGTTCAAACGTTCTGGTACATAAAACGGACGGATTTAAGACGCTCTGCTCAGGACATGTTTAAAACGTCTTTGTTGAGATGTTTTTAGGACGTTTTAAATATGTCGGTAATGTGGATGTTCAACTCTTTTCGCTATATTTGAATATGGCGCCACGACAGCGTTCTTGGCGCTGCCTGCAGCGGATGTAGATCGTCATTCGTCATTGGCTGATTGGAGTCTCGCGCGCGCCTATCGAGTCGTGTTCTTCCTCTAGCTGCCTTCTTCTCGGGACAGCCATTGTATAATATTTTTAGAGTCAGTCTGTGGACATTGTCATTACTTTTTCGTGGTTGTGTGTTTTTTATATATATTGTCTTTTTATATTATTTATTTGCCATTATTGGAACTGTGGTATACCTTTATCTTTATCTTTTTGGTGGTATACCAGAACTAGTAAACTTTATCATTAAAATTTAATTTATTTGCCTTTTAATTTCATAACCTCACTTTAATAATGTCTTATTTTTTAGGAAAACACCTTAAAACAATAACTCAACAAAATTATATGCTACGGAGGCATTAGTTACAAACGCTTTGGCTAATATTAATACCATAAAAGAAATTTTTAAATCGACCAAACTGGAATAGTTTCTCATAGAAACAAGTACTTGAAGTCATTTTTTAATTATTTTGTCCACGACCACTTAATAATAAATCAATATTCTACCCCCTCACTAAAAGCATATGGTACCCATATATCACTAGAGTGAATTATGATAATTCACGCTTTTGTAATTCTGGCACATTCCGGTGATAACTAAAGATGGGCGATACTTTTCATAACGATATTTTCTAGATCGAAAAATCGAAAATCGAAAAATCGAAAAATCGAAAAATCGAAAAATCGAAAAATCGAAAAATCGAAAAATCGAAAAATCGAAAAATCGAAAAATCGAAAAATCGAAAAATCGAAAAATCGAAAAATCAAAAAATCAAAAAATCAAAAAATCAAAAAATCGAAAAATTGAAAAATCGAAAAATCTAAAAATCGAAAAATCGAAATATTGAAAAATCCGAAATTCAAAAAATTGGAAAATCGGAAAATAGAAAAGTCGAAAAAACAACAGTTACTTACCTCTGTTTAATAAAAACTTTCCATTGTATTCTTTTATTTAATAAAGAAACCATAATGGTCGTGGACAAAGTATAGTATTAGACTCGCAATTTATGGCCATAAATTGCTCGTTTAATAATATACTATTATCCAACACTGTAAAATAATATTTACTCTGTGTCAGTTTTAATAGTTTAATAATGTATAATAAACAGTATTAAATATAGTAGACAAGTATTCATTTTTTTTTTTTAATGAATTTCCATCAAGTAAATAAACGACTTAAACACGTCCAATACGGTTTGTTTTCAAGACGTACAAAACTGGATGTCTTAAAGACGTACAAAATTAGATGTCTTAAAGACGCCTTGTTTTGTAACAAAGTACCTATAGACGCCTTTAAAACATCTTTTGGATATAAGCGTAGATATTCAAAACGTCACCAACTTCGTGAACAAACAAATTTAAGATGTATTTAAAATGTGTCTGTGCTATTTGGGTAGTGTCATTCTTTATTATTTTTAATCTTTTTGTAATATATGTAGATTACTTTTTATTTTGCGGAATTAAAAAAAAACACTCATTTTATTATGAAAACGATTTCATTTAGTTTATTTCAATATTTTTTTTCTTGTGTCTTATTTATTGTTACTTATTTATTTTAAATTTTACGCTTTGAACTTGCTTTATACCTAAAAAGATCAATAAAGTACTAATAATATAAATACAAGTTCGTTTTTTATTTCCAACATGTTACGCCTTTGGTCAAATATCATTGGTGTCAAAATGGCACAAGATTTTTAGTGATGTTGAGTCCTCTCTTTATTACCTAGTTTAAGGTTAATACACTGCGACCTGAAATATCTATTTTATCCCCTTCTGTCGATAATGCACCAAGGAAATGTCTCAGTGCTTATAACGACCCTTCCAATCCTATCTTCTTAAGGAAGTGTAGGATTTGGAGGGTGTTTGAGCCCCTTTGCTTGCAAGACTATCTGCAATCTCGTTACCCTGTACCCATGTCCCGGGACCCAAGTAAGAGTAACTCTTATTAGATACTTTAAAACCAATATTAAATGCTAAACAGCTTTTAAGCGCCCCCCAGTATATCTACAAGCTAACTTTAAAATATTCTTATTTACCACATTAAAACCATTTTAAAACTCAAATAAACCCAAAGTGTTTTTATGGTGCTACTTGGGTTACTCTCTTCGTAACCAACATTATTATTTTATACTAGTGAATGTGTTGTATTTGTTAATTCCATTAGAGACTAGAATTAAAGAACCATCTAATTCTTGCTGAAGAGTCCTAATAAGAACGAAACCGGTCCAAAAATGACGTTCTCTTTATTAAGCAAAATCAAAGGTAGAGTGTTGAAGTTTAATTTCTATCACAGGTATTAGCCAAAGAAGTAGTTGTTTTCCGAAAGGAACATATGACTTTGAATTTTATTTTACGTCTTGGTTACATTTGAGTTGGAATTATTTTTCTTTTTTAATACTATTAAAATTAAAAACTTTAAAATTCAAACATAAGCAATAATATTAACCAATTTATGTGTTTAGAGACATTATAGAATGTCGACATTGTATTCTTGAATAGGTACATTTTGTGTTTAATTAATTTATATTTTTTTGTATTTGTTTTTGTTTCCGCTTTTTTATCTAATTCTTTGTTGATTTATTTTAGAATCAGTGATTATTTAATAATTTAACATTTTTGTAAATCAAGATAATCATGAAATATTAATCCCTTTTGCGACAATATCCATTGTTTTATTTTTTTTTAAACTTTGACGTCTCATATTAGATTTTAAATAAAAATAATATTTTGAAATCTAACCGCTAAATAAGTGAATCCGTTTTGCAGGATCTATATTCGATGCATCTCGCGTATTATGAAAATGTAATAAATGTTTCAAGCAGTATATTTTATTATTGAAAAAACACTTGTATTATAAGAGAATTTAAGAAGAGTTGACGAATATCTAAGATATAACAATCAGTAGGTATAAAGAAAATCTTAATGGTAAAAGTAATTGGTTAGTATAAAATTATTTTAATTATTCTTTTTTGCAGGATTTCTAATGGTGTTATAGTAATAGTAATAGTAAATCATAATATATAATTTTTTGACGCGACAATCCTAAGAAGTTTCTGAACTGATAGAAGCGTTATAGTAGACCCCTTAGACCCCCTAGGGACGAAAATTAACCACATAGTGTGATTTTCTCTTAGTAGTAACGATATATTTTCTTTGGGTATATTCTCTACTTCAGAAAGATGTTTTTTATAGGAGGTCATAGAAAAACATTATTTTAACTCAGAAATTATATTTAGCTGTTTAATAAGAGAGTATGAGAACTGTGTAGTTTCTGAAAAAAAAAACAGAAAAATGACATGGTGCCTACATTTTAATTTTCAATGTTTTAAATCTTATACGATTTTAAATATATGAATATACAGGGTGATTCATTAGTGTGAAAAAGTCCAATATCTCCGCCATTATTAGAGATATAAAAAAAAAATTCACAGAACGGTAGACAGCGTTAAACTACACATTTTAAAATTATTTTTGAATATACAGGGTGTTTAATAACTTCCCTCTGGAACCAACTTATGTTCTTTTTAATGGATCGCCCTGTATTTTATTTTATATTTGAATTGCCCTCGCTTTTCCCATTCTAAAAATATAAATTATTATTTAACCATGTTTAAAAAATTGTGGTAGAAAAAAATTGGTTATCAATGGTTTCTTCTGCATGATATAGGTCATTGAATTCAATACGATTTTCATACAAAACTGATTATATCCTGCAAAATACCCTGTATAAACCAATAATAATTTATATTTTTAGAATGGGAAAAGCGAGGGTAAAATAAAATACAGGGTGATCCATTAAAAAGAACATAAGTTGGTTTCTGAGTTATTAGTTATTAAACACCCTGTATATTCAAAAATAATGTTAAAATATGTAGTTTAACGCTGTCTACCGTTCTGTGAAAATAATAATAGCGGAGATATTGGACTTTTTTACACTAATGGATCACCCTGTATATCAAGTCTAGTCAATAATTAATAAATTTGTTTAAAATAATGTAGAATTGAAAAGAGCTAATAAAAATTATAAAAATGTTTGTTGCGATGAGAATGTAGTTTTTTGTCTCCAAACTTTCCCATCCTAATAAATATTAGGTATATTACAGGGTGAATTATTTAAAATAAACTCAGTAAAACTTTTAACTGGCAATAATATATTGAAAACGGTTCTGAAATGAATTACTTAATTTGACACTGAGAATTTCGGAGTTGTTCGTTTACTTCAGAAACACCCTATATAAAAAGTTCTAAATAAAAACCTTCCTCAGATTGACTAATAAGACCAAACTAAAAGATTTTTGATTGTTTTGACACAATATTTAGTAAATTGATTTTTGTTAAAAGCTTGGTTTGACTTACCAGTATGGTTTGAATTCGGAAAATATTGTTAATCCGCCGTATATCACCAAGTTCTCACCAGAAGACACTAATTCTGTGAATTATGAATCTATCGTTCGATGCGTTAAAATATCGCGCTAATTCATGAGGAGGCTGCGCCTCGCGATGCTTTGTTAATACACTACTGTGTGTTTCAAAACACGAAAAAATATCAAGTCAAAGTTAAGAACATATTTCATTTAGATTTAGATACGCGTATACAGGACGATCATAAAATGACGAATAACGCATATTTTTTATATTAAGGTTTTATGGTAGCAAAAAAGTGAATATCAGACATCAGGTTACGTACATAAATAATAAATTAGGTTACATAATAATAAATATAGAAATGAAAACAAAGGTATTTTATGATTAGGTTGTAGACAATTTTAAGATTAAATCCGCTTAAATAATTATTGACATTCTTTTATAAAAACAACCTATAAAATAATAAGAATTTTGTCCTAATAAATATTTATAAAAGTATTTGACCTATTTTCCCCTTAAGCATACCCATGTAAAAATATTTGGACCCTTTGTCCTTTAATCCGGCCCATGTAAAACTAGTTTTTGCCCTTTGCCTCTTAAGCCTGTATATTTAAAATATTAGTTACCTATGTTTAAGCCTGCCGTATAATAGTACCTATATTACATAACAAAAGTAGTAAAAAGCTACATACGAAAAGTTGCACACGACCCGCGTTAGCGTTGTGTGCACTATCTACGAGTATGTAATAATTGCTCATACAACTCGAGAAATGTACTATACTTTATCTACAACCACAATCATACATTCATTATAACGAAAAGGCTTTCATAATCTATAGCATTTATTAAATACATTTAAATAAAAATATTGTAAATTGCAAATGCAAATACTAAATTAACTGAAGAAAAATTGTTTTAGATACGAACCTTTGTTAATAAGTATTGTAAATCAAGAGCTTCATTTAAATATTTACGTATTTCATCAAAAACATTTCTGCCTTTAAAACCATCTGATTGCCTTTTGAGGTATCCTTTAATTTTGGGTACGTTTCAATATTCACTTTATTTTTTATTGAAATGACGATTCTTAACATAGAATAAATTGCCCATAATGATGAAAGTTTGAATTGTTCCCCAAGTTTCCCAAAATATGCCAAAAGCACATTCTCAGAAAATGAGTCCATAAACTTTTTTGGTATACTATTTCATACCTTGATTTTGAGAGCAGTAACTCTGATTGGTGGATTTCACATATTTGTGCAGTGTTCTTACTAGGGAGAATGGATATGAAATAGTATATTCATTCAGTTGAACGCAATAGCCAACTTTTTCGTTTTGTAGTCTGTGCGTAGAATAGCTAATATGGTTGTAGAAAAAATCTTTTAATGGATGTTCAACAAATTTTAAATAATTTGACATTTAAGAGTGACATCAATATAGAATAGTATATTCTGTAACAAGGTTGAAATGAAAATTCGATACGAGTGGAAGATTCTGCCCGCGAGCGAAAAAGAGATTGAAGAACCACGAGTATCGGATTTTGATTCCAACAGAGTAACATACTGTACTTTCTCCACGGCCACAGACAGTAGGAATAAAGTAAAATGAAATATGTAATCTAGTAATTTGTTAGTTTAGAAAAGATATCAAATCCTATATAAGAATTATTATATTTGCCAATTTTTGAATTCGACTTAAGAAACGCCGCTTATCTTTATTCTAAATACTAAATACTCATACGTCGCGTAGAACTGTCAGTCATGAAATTCATCACTATCTACGATGCAGGCGTGGTATTCACATAGCAATTGACCAGTAGCCAGAAGGGGGCCAGGGGGGCGCTTACCCCTCCCGCCCCATTGCTAGGCGCCCCTTGCCGTTTGGTGCCTGTATACACAATAAACAGTTACTTTTATTACACCCTGTAACATTTATTGAAAATGAAAAATATTTGGTAACATGTTTTTAAAAACCAACACTGTATTTGTTTGAAATGCTTCAAATATTATTTTTTCTAATTTTGACATATAAAGTGACATTTTTTTATAATCGCAGCGTCAAAATGATCTATTTTACACAACCAGTTGCATAATGTTGAACATTATGAAACTGGTTTCAAAAAATTCATTATATCACCAGTTGCGAAAACGAAAACAAATAAAAATAAACGGTTTTTGGTTTTAAAATCAATAATATACATTATTATTGAAAGAACAACGTTTTTAATGCATGCATCTTTTAAGTTATGAATATTATAGATTTTTAACATGTTCTAGCCAATTATCTAAGAGTGCAATGCCGCCACCAATGAAATTTGAATTTGTATTGAAAATAGATAATTCCTAACCATTAGTAAATGCATGCAAATCGTTTTTTGTTAAAATTTCAAAAAAATATACCGCGGAAAATAATTTGCATACGCTTAAAAACGAAAAAATTCGAAAAAACGTTGTACACTAATTATTATACGAATGCTATTTTATAAATAGTGATAAATTACATGCGAATATTCATTTATTATACAGGGTGTCCCATTAGTGCGTAATTGCTCGATAAATCAATTTGTATTATAGATACACAAACAACATTCAATTAAAAGTTATATGGATTTGAACAAAACATATTTTGAAAATATTTTAGGATAAACAGAGTGGTACGTTTTTTCTGGCAAATAAAAATGTATGTTGCTTCCCTTTAAATGTGTGCTCCCTCGCCCCGCAAGGCTGGCTAAGCCACTGGCTATTACATAATAAGCATTCTCTCTAGAGTTAGAATAAAATACGTATAAAATACATAATTTTGTTTCAATCTCAAGAGCGAGAATGTTTTCTTTATATAATAAGTGGTTTCGGAACAACTACATTCAGTAATGGACGTGGAGAAAAATATATCTATGATTTCACAGTTGACAGGCACAGCAATCCCTATAGTCAAATATTTCTATGTTGGAGTGCTTAAAATAAGGTCCATAAGAAATGAATTGGATTTGAAAAACCATGATATTGAATGTAGTTAAGTTGAACTGAAAATTCTGAAAATCAGTAGGGTTCTAAGTTAAAAGAAATTTTTTAATAAAATCAGTAGGGATCTAAATTAAAAGAAATTATTTAATAAAATCAAAACTGCAAGACGATCACAGCTTTCGTCCTATAAAGTTATCGTGTCAGCATACATGCGCATAGAGTACTATTCAGCGTTGCCAGAGCTGGTACAATTGTACAGGTCTGGTACATTTTGAGACCGTTTGTACAAAAGTACATTTTTAATATTTCTGGTACATTTTCTACAATTTTAAATATTAATCTGACGACACAAATTTTTTAAAATAAAAATCGATGCACTTACCATTTACCATAAATATCGATAATTTTCAAAATATCGATAAATTTCCCAATACGTCAGTTAGGTGATCACTAATTTGTGCCTGCCCTCTACCATTTAATAGATGAACTGCAGACTGTGGATCATTGATCATGTAACAGATGGTGTAATAACTTTTGCATGAATTGTATTTTTATTTCGGGGACTTACTGACTATGATGTTTGTTGATAAACATTGTGCCAGTTAGAAGAGTGACAGTGTTATTTAATTTTAAAAGTTTTTAAATCAGTAGCAAAAGAAAAATAAGTATTTTACTGTAAAAAATGGATAGGTTTGTATTATTATTTGTTGGGGTTGTTAGGTGAGGTCTACAGTAAATTTTATATATATTATAGGTGTTCTATTAATAAATAATTAAAACTATTCTAATTAACAGGTTTTTAAGAAAAGCAAAAGAGGCAGAGCCGGGCTTAGTATTTCTCAGCCTTCTAATTCATCAGGTATATCTAGACCGTCTGATAAAATAATAAATTCAGACACAATTACTTTAGAACAAAATAGTGATTCATCAGAATCTGAATTTGCGGCAACGTCATCCAGTCGGGAATGTAGATCTCCACAGCAGGTAATTTTTGTTACTGTAAAATATTTTTGTTCTGCAAATAAATCCTGGTTTTCCAATGGCTTAGCATGACGGCTATAAATACCCTACTATATTTTAAATAATTATAAGACCATCGCTTCCTCTAGTCTTTTATTTAATTTATTTGTAGAGAAAGAAAAAAAATATGATCATAAATTTAGACAAGTATGGCTTACAAAGTTAACATGGGTAAAACTACTTCATACTGCAGATAAAATTTGCTCTTTATGTAATCACACAGTTGAGGGTGGGGCAGCTCATTTAACAAGGTATGAAAAGAATCAGTTTCACAAAAAATATGCCAAAAAGGTTACAAATACAGGAAACATTTAAAAATTGATTCAAGAATCTTCAGAAAAAAAAAATATTGACGGTTGCAGCTAAAAAAGACGAGTACAAATTAAGTTCATGTTCCTAAACTTCTAGTATCTAGTATTCCAGATTCTCAAATGGTTAAAATTATAAATTGTGGGAGAACAAAGACTACCCAAATAATTAAAATGTTGAAGACTGTGGCTGAAAATGAACTTGTGCAACAACTAAAATGCAAAAATAAATCAATTATAGTAGATGAAACAACAGGCATCTCTACAAAAAAATGTTTGGCAATTTTGTGCCGTTTTGTAGATATGAACCAAAGTTCCATTAGAGACCAGTTATTGTCACTGGTAGAGTTAGAGAATTGCTCTGCACTAATGCCATTTTGGATTTACTAGACAAAATTTGAAATTAATTACCATAATGTTATTGATTTCGGTGCAAATAACGCTTCTGTTATAATGGGCCAGAGCAAAACTTAAAGAAAAATCTGATGTGTCCAACACATGACTTTCCTATCTAGTTATTACAGGCTTTTTCCGGTTATTTTTTACAACCTATTGCAGCATCTCTATAAATGTTTAGAGGATAAACTAAATATATACATTGTCCACATACATCTACCGCGAAACATTTTTCTATAGATATTCATTGAAAATGAAAATAATGAAAAATTTAAATTTAGCACTTTTCCTACAATTTTTCCATTACGGTCCATTTTAATAAAATCATGTATGAACAAATATTATAGAGATCGATATCGCAAACAACTTTTATTTCAACAATTTTCATAAAAATCAGAATTTTGCACATTTTGTCAAATTTTTCGAATACGGACCATTTCAGGAAATTTTTACATAAAGCAAAAATTATAGA